ATTTCCGACGAGTGCTTGCGGTGTTCGGCCAATCACAATGCACTGGGTCAGCTGGCCAATCAGAGCAGACTGCGCTTGTCGGAAGGAGGGACTTTGTAGAAAACAAAGCGTTTGAGAGAGGCGGGGCATAGAGGACCTACAATAATGTACAGTATTTGAAAAATAATGTGTTTTTTGAACATTAAAGCATGTCAACATATTCTGTTACACCAAATACACAAAATAATTTAAAAAAAGCATCATATGACCCCTTTAACCCAATATTTCCACTTGCCATTGTATCGCGTTTACTACAGTTCAGTACAGTTCAGGAGGCGCTGGCTCATGGCTGGCTGCTGTGTGACTGAGTGGAGGCGGGGCTAATTTGAGTATTCATAGATCCGCGTATAGTAAATGAGGCAAGGGTGTAGAGTTGCATTCAAGCTATTTTAAGGCATGAGAAAATTATTTTCACAAGAAAAAAAAAATGTAAATGTCATTTTTATGATCAAAGATGAGTTTTAAAGGATAACATTTTTGACTACAGGGGGACTTTAACAGTTAAAAATATTTTAATTTTTTTTTAAAGAGAAGAGAAATGAAATCAATCCCAAATTTGGATTTTGTATCTCAATATATACACAATAATAATCATAATGAATAATAATAATAATAATAAAAAATTATAATAAATTTAAATAATAAATGTAAACATTTTGATATCATCCAAACAGGTTTAGAGAATCATGTGACTGATGCCCTGCAATTGGATTGTCTCTGGTAGAGAAATCAGTTCAGTTAGTGTGAATTTAAATGAATGTATTTTTGAGAACAGAATCCATAAAGTACCTAATGGTCCTTTTTCATAAGTTTATAAGATGTCAATTTAGCAAAAAAAAAAAGAATGACTAAAATTAAATGAATCCCAGAAAATAATAATAATGATAATAATACATTTAAATACATTTAAACATTTAATACATTAAAATATTTCTATTTCTATTTACTTTAACATTTTAATATTTATAAAAATAGTTTATATTAAATAAGCATTTCTTTGAATGAATGAAACGAATGAATGAATTTTTCAGATCGTAGGGCCCTAGACTGATGCCTTAAGTATAATTTTCCTGTGCTTAGTGCCCTAATATTTCTATTTAACAGCCATCCAATCAGGTTTAGCGATTCGAGTCATGTGACCCATGCTCTGCCATTGGCTGTAATCCTCACATGCCCGAGTAGAGTCTCTTTCAGTCCTGGAACACAGTAGTTACAGCAGTTCTCAACACATGCCCTCAACTCAAACCTCTCGTCATCCATCTGAACCACACAAACAAGTTCAGCTGCTTGTAAACACTTTCAAACATTCAGACGGAGACGGAGCAATGCAGCCGAACGCCAGAGCATCAGCACAGTCAACTCACGCGGAGAAAAGAAAATATCATAAAACAGCGCAGGGGAAACTCATAAAAGAACGAGATGTCCAGGGGACAGTAATATAAGCACTGCAGATGCGAAGATTCGCACGGGAGAAACACCCTCGCCAAACAGGACAGGCGTATTAGAAAAATGAATCAGCTCCCAAAAACACCAGCTTATATAAATGATGATGGGAGTTGGGAGAGAGTGGGAGGTCTAGGACAGAAATAACATGAATATATTACATCTAAAAGAGCGGTTTGTGGATCAAAGTTGGTGTGGGCTGTCGCAGTCCCGATGATTGGCTTACTTAAGATGCAGAAGAAAAAAAAAAGCCCAAACCCAAAAGCAGTTGTTTTCGAAAACCGCCTTTAGAAGCTCTAAAAATGCTCATTCCATGGAGTTGTAATCGCCTTTGATCGCTGGCAAGATTAGAGTTTAGAGTGAGAAAAACAAGAGCCGCGGAAAAAACACACCCACCCAAAAGGGACACGGCTCGGCTTTCAAGTGCAGAGTAGCTGATGGCTC